TAGATTTCATGGAGACGAAATATTAGAAAAAAAAATGATATCTGATTATAATTATATGAATTTGGTTAATAACATTAAGTAAAAGAAGGGCAAGCTGTGTACAAAAGGTCAAGAGATAACGTCCATACAGTTAACCATTCGACATTTGAAATGGTACGATATTAAAGCGGCATTTCCGTATTTATTTGGTTTGCACTTTAAGTATCTTCCCGCTTACATTGCCCAGAGATATAGAATATGTGATATAAAGCTACATTTACATTAAAGATGCATACCCGTGTACTTTTGAAATATTTGTGACAAAGCAAAATGTACTTTAATATATGGTATGTACCTTTTAATACAAGTGCATTCCGATTTTAGCAAGGATATATTCTCTAAAAACGGTGCAAAATGCATGTCGCATCGCGACGAATCGTTGCAGCTCGTATGGAGAATACTAACAAATTGCGATCAACTGCGTATATTGATCAAATATTGTTAAAATTTTGCCAGAAAGTATGACTGCTTGTAACTTGCAGAAACTGCTATTTTTGCAGTCGTCGTTGTGCTTAGGTTGATTGATTCTGTCCCGCAGAAATTCTTGCAGTCGTAAAGACCTCTTGAGCACCCCCGCGCCCTCCTATGGGCTTAGGACGTAAAACTCGGAAAACTATATCTACTTACCTATATGGCTCGCTTTTAAGAGTTAGAATGTATTATTTCCAAAGATCACCATATATATATATATATATATATAAATATTTCAAAATTTGTCTTATCAGGATAATATGCAAATTAGTCTGAATAGTCGCTGGAAATTTCCCCCTTTTGACCTTGGCTTGTTAACTCGGTTGTCAAGGGTTAAAATGGTACGTTGTCCACTGGGTAAAAGAGTGTTAACTATCTATCTACTAGGATTATTTTGGTATAGTCATGTGTATAATGAAATGACTACAGTACAGTGCAAGTATATCGTGGTTATGCCTGTACTAGAACTACGCAATGGTTTTAATACCGGAATCTGCGAAAAATATAAGCGCGCTTCACACCATTCCGTACTTTGTCCTAGCCTTTTATGGGCTGGTGGCATTTGTAGATAAGTGGCCACGGGGGTTCGGTGAGTTAGACACTTGTGCGCCAACTGGAAGGCCCAGGGTTCTATACCGACATAGGTTTTGATAATACAATCTATTAACCGAGGCCCCTGTATGCTTCAAGCACCCTCAATGGTCGGAAATTGAAAAAAGGGCCAAACTGGACGTAAAACTCCGTTTGCTGTACCGGCAAAATGTCCCTTATTGCACATTGAATGAGCGCTTCACGCGATTTCATACCCTATCATAGCCTTGTATGGGCTGGTGCCAATTTGCATGAAGCTTGGTCGCTTATCGGAAAGTACAGGATATGGGCAGCTAGTATTGAGCTCTTTCAGCTGGTAAAGCAAATATTAAAACATGTGTTCCTTTAGATGTATAGCTTTCATGCTAATACGCAGTTTGAAGTGCGATTACATTCGCAAATGTCCCAAATGTTATTAAGCGCTTCAAGTCTCTTTAAAGATCCCAATATTGTCTTATCAGCTGGACTAAAATCGCCCTATTCGATAACAAAAAGTACGTAATAGAAAATGTTCGGTATCAGTTACTTGATAAGGAAACCAAGAACGCACGATATCATTTTTGGTTTACGATATTTTCTCAACGAATTTGATAATTTTATTATCACTGTACATGAAAACTATTTGAGTGCAATTGAAGAATTATTCGCACCAAAATTATCACGGAAAATACCGGAAATAACCGATGCGGAGTAAATATCCAATATGGCCGACAAATTTGACGTATAAAGAACACAAAATCAAAATATTGCCAGAAATATGGAAGAAAGTGATGTTAGAAGAAGAACTAACAACGAAAATGCTGGAACTAGTCATGGAGAATCTCCCAAAGAGAATTTTGATCAAATTAACCCTACAGCTTCGTACAGAAATGCCGCCGAATACGCCAAAGATTTGAGAGTCTGGATAGATCATTACCATTTCGTGAATCAAATGAACAATTTGTACTCCATGATGCCCTTCATGCAGATGTCTTGTATGAATAGAGCAAATGTTAGCAATCCTTCTCCAGGCACTGGCCATCAAGCTGACCACAGATTCCCAGCACCCAATGCCACAGAACAGACCAGGCGGACAGGACAAGATCAAAGACAAAATACTCGTCAAACTAATTTTATTAACACTGGTAAGTCAACAATTTCAATATGCCTAAAAATCATAATGGATTCAGATTTTTGGGGATAATTGTATGTGTACTTGTGGCCAATTTGATTTTCTGCTGTGACGTCTGGTTCTACTAGGGGTCCTTCGATACAACCCAAATGCCACTTTCACAAATTGGAAGTCCAACTAAGTTGCTTAAGTAAGGTCCAACTCTCTTATAGAACACTTGACGTAACTCTGTGACTTGGTTTGTGAACCCATCATACCTTTGGAGGATCCACATTAATTTTTGTATTTGTATTGTAGAAACAGAAGGGCTGTATAGAGTACCAACATTCTGGAGAAGAGTGGCTGCTGAGCTGATAGACTTCACTCTTCTGTTCTATATCAAGTTACTAGTCACCCTGTTTCTCATGAAAAGAATGGGGCACATGTAAGTAAATCGCATATAATAACGATCCTTGGAGATCCTTAAGGAGTTGATCCATCAGGATGGGCTTTAGTTCAGTCTGTTAGAGTCTTATAGTCTTTACTTGATGCCATTTGCCAAGTTACATCAATAAATGGTGGGTTCTAATCTCAGTCGGTGTGAAAGTCTGTATGACAGTTATCGCTAAGACCCTTGGAGAATTAGATTGATGCTAATAAAATGGCCCTGATGCTCATAAAAAAGCTAGAAAACCCCTTAAATGTATCAAAGTTTGTCTGTTGCTTAATAGAGTTCACTGTAATAATGTTCAAATGATGACTTTTCTCTCAGATATGATACAGTAGATTTCCAGGAACTTCTATCTCAAGTTGAAATAGACTATGATAAGGCTTTCGCTATAACTACAGAAGTCATTGCCATGGAGATTATCAATAGATTACTCATTACCATGTTTGAGGTAAGGATTTCCTGTTTTTTTTTGTGATCTCCTGTTGGTATTGGTATAAGCGCTGATTCTTATTACTAAGGCACTTTTCATAGTACAGGTAGACAATAGGAAAATCTTAGGCGGGCTGCTAGCATTAACGGAGGGTACTGTGCCAGTTTGTAGCCTTACAAGGCAATCTAAGGCTTTCTGCAAAGATCTCCTTACTGCAGTTGTTATTGGTATAAGCACTGATTCTGATTGTTTTTTTTTACTTTCAGACAATGTGTTTAAGACATGGCATTGGCACCATTGGAGGAGCTACACCAGGAAAACGGCTCCTAGGGCTGAAATTAATAAAAGCAGAACAAATCATTGACAGAGGAAATGGATTAATTCTCGTTGCCCCAGCAACAGACGTAGGATGGAAGGGGTGAGTAATCATGTAAACTTTGACCTTTCATTATGATTTTAACTCTTGAAACTAAAATCAGACTTGTCTAAGGACCAGCTTGTAGAAAAGATGGCATCCTTGTATAAAATAAGGATTCTCTCTGTTTCTTTTTAAATTCATCAAGCAAAGGTTGTACTAATTCCCAAGATGTAACTCAAACATACAAAATGTAACATAAATAAATAATTTGCACATTGTTTTTTTCATTTCAGAGCATTTATCCGGTCAGCTATCAAGAACTTTACTATTGCTTTTTTCTTGCCAGCCTGTCTGACACTATTTTTTCATAGTCATAATCGTACGGTTTACGATGTCTTAACGAAAACTGTGGTCGTTCAAAATGCCCCTCGGCAACCACAGAATCATTGATTTAAATCAAAAAACAAAACAAAAATGAGAGATTCAAAACAAATGGAAGTGAATTGGTGGGCATATTTGGTTTCTATTGGATGTGAACTAGTGTTGGTATAGCCAATCATGTTTTACATCTTCATCTTATACCTTGACTGCAATGGCCCACTTTCTTGTTTCATGATCAGAGATTTGATTAGATATTATTTTTTACAATCCAATTAAATTGCTACATTCAAAAACTTCCTTGAAATAAGAAAGTGGGTCATTTGCAGTCAAGGTATAAGATAAAGATGTAATACCTTGACCATTAAGAAGATGGCAAATACGATATGTATCACAATGTATCTGTGTCCCTACTGAAGTTAGAACTTATTGTATTCAAATTGTAATAAATAATATATAATAAAGATAGTACAATTATATTGTCAGAATGGCTCCATTTTTATTGCAATATATTACCATTTTTATGAATGGTAAGAGAATAAGAGGGTGGAAAACTCGATTTGATCTGATCTATCTAATCATTTTATTTATGGGTTCATTTAGAATTGAAAGCTTCTTGTTTTTCTTACTGTGAATTGGGTTGTATAGGCCTAATTGTCCCCAAATATAAAATTAATGCTCCTAGTCCTCTAACCGGCACCGGAGCTCTTCATCTTCGATAAATTTCAGTCCTGAAATACGAAAATTGGACATACATGTTATGTGACATTGCCAGAATATGCCCTACAGTAGAAGCTTGTTTGCACCCCATTTAGCACTGAAGAGGTTATTAACGGTAGGCATATAGTAATTGCTGAAAAACGGTAGGCATATAGCAATTGCTGAAAACTACCCAAATAGGAACTTATCTTAAATGAATTTACCTCTTGGTAAAGGTGCTATTGTGGTAATAACTAAAATGAAGCCGGTCAGTGAGAAGAAGGCAGAGTGAGAGGAAAGTAAAGCTGGTAAGGCAGAGTGAGAGGATAGTAGAGAAGGCAGAGTAAGAGAGTTTAGAGGCATTGAGAAGAGGGTGGAGTCAGTTAGAAGAAGGCAGAGTAAGAGAGTGTAGAATCAGTGAGAAGAAGGCAGAGTAAGAGAGTGTAGAGTCATTGAGAAGAAGGTAGAGTAAGAGAGTGTAGAGTCAATGAGAAGAGGGTAGTGGTAATAATAATAAAAGGCATTGAGAAGAAGGTAGAGTAAGAGAGAGTAGAGTTAGTGAGAAGAAGGCAGAGTAGAGTGAGATATTCTGGACTGTTAGGGTACTCTATTGAATTGAGAGATACGTAATGTACCTCCGTGCAGTGCTCCAGATTACAGTACTCTGAAGGCTTATTTTTTACGAACTGTTGTGTTCGCAATGAAAATGTCACTTATCATAGAGTTTGAAGGTTTTAAATAAATTTCATAACTTATCGCAGTGGTCAATGTAATGACCGGAAATGGTTTATTATTTTAATTTTTCAAATCGTAGGTTCAACGTTTCTATTTGTTTTTTTTTAATTATACAATGTTTCAACGAGTTTCCCCTGCCGTTGATGGCACATAGTGATAGCAAAGGTATATATACATTTGAGAAGTGACAAACAAAAAAAACAAAAAAATTGCGTCCAGTGCCGATTACTATTCCGGGCCATTCAAGATAGAAAATAAGAGACGGGACTCATTGAGCAACAAGGCAAACTAGATTTAACACAAAGGATGACCTACCTGATTCAGGTTCTGAAGTTCCAAGATCTACCAGAGCAGCGACTATTGCAAGCAAACGCCACATCTTCCAACGCAGCCGCGTTGTTTGTTGGTCTGATTGCATCTATCGATTTTAATTATTGCATAAAAGCCTTTTGACTTTATCGAGAGCATTCAAAATTATCTCGGCCCACAAATGTTTGAGTTCTGTCCGCCTGTTATGCAAGCTAGTTGCTGGTTAGACTAGGTTGTAACTTCGGTATCTTACGTCGTTTAGAGTTCTGTGACTTCTGTAATAGTTGCTTATCAGGGAGTTGATGGCAGTAAATGGCACCATCGTCGTGACTACAAAAACTATCGTCCAGTAAATTGCGGCGCCAGGGTTGTTGATTCCAAATGTTCTGCCGATTAGAATGTTGTTACTTCACCAATGTGACTCCATAGACCTTGAAGAGGTTACTTTGCTGAGCGTAAGAAGTTGTGACTTCAGCTTCCATCACAGCTATTTCAGCTATGACTTCAGTAATTATTTCCACTGTTAGGGGGGTCGTGACTTCAATAACTGGTATTGCAGTTACTGTTGGGATTACTTCAATAATGGACCTCGCCGTTAAGAGATTTGTGTCGTCAGTAATAAGCGGTGTGACTTCAACAATTGGTTCCTCCATTAAGAGAGTTGTGACTTCCGTTACAGGCTTTGTATTTAATGAAGAAGTAACTTCAGTAGCAGATATCGTCGTTAAAAGAATTGTGACTTCAGTTACTAGCACGGCTATCAATAATGCTGTGAATCCAATAATTGTAGCCCTAAAGCAAATCGTGACTTCCGTAATTGACATTGTAAAGAGGATTGTGACTTTAGCAAGTGTTGTGACTTCAGTTAATGTAACCAACATTATCAGTGCTGTGACTTCAGCAATTCTCATGATCAAGAGAGTCGTGACCTCAGCAACGGTCGCCTCCAGAAAAGTTGTGACTTCAGTAAACAACGTGGGGGCAAAGGGGGTTAAGCATTCAGTAACTAGAGCCGTTATTAAGAGAGTTGTGACTTCAGTAAAGTGTGTAGCCTTCAAGAGATCCGTGACTTCACAAAACACATGCGTAACTGACTATGTGGTTTAGCCGAGATTGTACCATTTATACAGTTACGAATGTGCCGCGCAAAGCATTCCAGGCTTACTCTTTTAGAAACACCTGATGGTACTTCTCTTTGGAGGAGTCCACTACTATACATACTACTATTACTTCCGATTTGGTCGTACTTTGGAC